TAAGTTACAAAAGTTACAAATTAGATTTTTTATTAAAAAGTAAAACTTTCTTTATTAATTATTCGAGAACATAATTTTATCTCTTTTTCTCTCTATCTACAAATATTAATAAATAAGTTACAAATTAGATTTTTTATTAAAAAGTAAAACTTTCTTTATTAATTATTCGAGAACATAATTTTATCTCTTTTTCTCTGCCTGCTATCTATCTACATATTTTAAATTTAATACACCGCTCCTAGCCATTTAATCAATGCTTCTTTATATTTATGTTTACTACTTTTTTTATATTTATTAATATGCTTCTTTATATTTATGTTTGCCAAAACTGATAGCCATTGTTTTATTATATATAAATTTATATACTCGATGAAAGCAGCTACTACATATGGATTTAAATATATTTGATTGAAATAATCAGCTTGTGCTATTGCATATAGGTATTTAAATATATATACATATATATCATGAAAATAATATATTTAGCAATCAAAAGAACTGCAGGCATTGCATTCGCAAAACGTGAAAAAATATTCAAACCAGATTCTAAATTACTTTGTAAATGTGCAAATTTATTATCGAGTTTTTTATCATATGTAGAGAATCAACTATAAAAATAAATAAATTTGTCAAATAAATGAGTCTTTTTTTATCTTGAGAATTCTTTTTAAAAGTTAATTATTTATGTATTAATATAAAATTATATTTTCCCTATACATATTTTTATCAATAACAAAATATATTTTGTAGAAAATTTTTATATATAAAGAAATACATTTCTATAAATACCTAAATATACATATATGCATTTTAGCTAGTGTATGCGTACTTAATATATGATATTTCTAAGAGGAAATATATATATACACATGTATTTAATAAACAAATATATTAAAATTTCAAGAATCACGGCACACTCTCTATTAGAATTTTTTTTTCTATTAGTACATTATTACAATATAGAAACATAATGCTAAATAAAATAAATTTGAATCACTATATATGTATAAAATCGAATTTAATAATTTATATATTTGTTACGAAAAGGTCAAATACATTACCTTCATATCTAGATCTTCTTTTAGTCGAGAAGTTTTCAAAACCTTGGGATTCTTCAAGATTCTGCAGCACACCTCTGAAGCGATGTCTTTTTGACAAAAATTACGTACTCGATTTATTATCAGTACGGATTTCACGTTCGTTTGCCAAAAGGTTGTCACGCGCGGTTGAAGCCGTGGCTTCTCTCTCTCGTTTGAGGGGCAAAATCGCGCGGCTGCTCTTCAAATACAAACCCCGTTAACCCCTCCATTGCGATAAGCGCCACGGGGGTGAATGCAAGTCTGGAGAACGCATGACCGCAAGGGTGCGAGTGACGATCATATTTCACACCTCAAAAAAAAAATCACTCTTCTTTATCAGGAATGTATCTAGACTATATGGCTGAGTTGCTAATACACTTCTAATTTAACTTACTTCCAAAAGAATTCTGTTAAGGATGCACAGAAACGCAGTTACAGAGAGAGAAATATTACAAAAAAGAGGAAGATAAAATATAATATTAATAACAATATAATTTCTTAATTATCATAATATAATAATTTTTATTTCTCTCTTTTTCTCTTTCTTTCTCAGTCTCTCTCTATCAAGAATTGTATATAAATAAATTAAAATTTTATTTTAATTCTCTAATACATTAAACATTAAATAATTATCCGCATCTAATTATACACCATCTTATTCTTCTCTAAAAGAGAGAAAGAGAAAAAGAAGGAGAGAAGAGAGAGAGAGATGCTTTTTCTTCCGTATTTAAAAAGCTTATAAAATTTCTGGTATTTATTTTTTGGAAGATATTAAATTATTTTCTATTATTCTTTGTTAGAAGATATATTTGCATAACTCTCTTAGTTTGCATAATTTTCCGCCATACATTATAACTGTATTCGTGACTATTCACGGAGGATGCATCTTATGTAATTCCTTAGGCAGATTCAGTACATGTTGCTCCTTAAGATTCACGGATCATAAGTTATCATTGGGTCACATGATTTAACGGAAATTTCAACAATATATTGGCATCCTACTATTTTACTGTATATCGAACGTGAGAGAATTCTCGTTCTCGCACTTCGTTATGATACTATACTAATTGGTTACAAATTACAGAGCAATTTGATACGCGGCATTTAAATCTATTGCAATACAATAACGATTGATAGATTTTTTTTTTCATATAGCGCGTAGTCTATAAAAATTGGATTATATGTTGAAAGAATGTACAAAATAAAAATCGATATGTATCGTATAAATTGTTGAGTACATATATATAACGTGTATCAGTATACATATAACGTATTAATTGTTTCGAATGATTTAATTTTAAACGTTATTTCAGAATGTTACGTTATTACACTGTATTATTAAAACACTATACTATTGAAATACCATTTTTCCTGGATTTGTTTCCTGCTTTTGATGTTTTGATTTAATCAATTTTAATCTCGATTCGATCTCTATTTTCAATTTATTTTTCACGGCCAACTTTTCATTAAGCGTAAGTACTTGATATAAAATATATAACATATTCGTTTTAATTGTACTAAATTTTGATATCAAATTCTTTGACCAATTTGAGAAATCAATACATTCCAAAAGTTTTGAGACATTAATGGCTCATAGATTCGAATAAAGCATTTAAAAAAAAAGTATTTTGCACCTAAAATTTTACATACGTCAGCAGATAACAAAATCTCATTTTTCATTTACATATGTAAGTGAACACATTGCATTACTACAATTTTAATTCTATATTTAATTACAAAGATACTTAATGAGTTGTGAGTTAATAATTGCATTGCAGATAACAACTTCTCTTAAAAGGGATGAACATTTCGTTCTCAAAAATTTACTCGAAATTATCAAAGAGACTATTATTAAAATTCAATGTAGTTAAAACGAGGCATGTATAAAAAACATTATAAATAACGAAGTTACTCTTTTACACACGAAAAACTAACGCTAAAGTGAAATGTTAGTTTACAAATTTTTAAAATTAGACCAGTTCTGTCTATGCTGTATCGACGTTATATACTGCAATGTTATATATATTACAGACTGCATCATAAAAAGAGATAGTTAGAATTTGTAACATAAATTTTACAAATAATTATATTTAATAATAATTATATTTTTATATATATATATACACGTATGATTTATCGAGTATTTGCGCACAACAAACGAGGACTTGGACTATGCAAAAAAGGTCAAAAGTGAAGCGATCGGAACTGAGGATTAGTGTCGATTAAATCGATGCCAGGAAGCGAAGTATAACAGGTCGGCCGGGTAAGAGTCTCCTGGTAAAAATCATAGAAAAAACAGTCGAGCTTAAGTACTTACACCGTTCCCACATCAGAGCCTGCTGAGTTACGATTAGATCGTTCAACCTAGTTCGCCAGTGGTTGTCCATTTTTTCTCATTTTTCTTTCGCTGAAATTTTCGACTATATGCTTATCTGTGATGCGACGATAAATATTTGGAAACTGCAAAAGGGACGAACCGGCAGGAAGAACGAGCTAAACTTTGTAATTATTCAACATCAATCTTTATCGCAGCTTTAATCATATCGATCATATATGCGTAATATATTTAGAGTCATCTTTACGCAAAGAATAACTTTTCTTAATATTTAATTATAAATTATTATTCTTGAAAGATACTTATATAGTATATAGTATAGCTATATAGTTGGTGTGATTAAACGCTTGAACAATGTGAAAAGCTATTGCTTTATTCAAATAAATAGCGATGTTTAATTTTATGATAGGTATAAACGCTGCCACCACTAAAATTAAGACGCAAGACGGTAAATCATTACTGCTCCTTGCAGTTACTGGATAATAGATAACTTATGAATAAGAGATGTGCCCCTTATGCAAAATGACGAATATATATAACTGTCTCACATAAAGGGGAAAATAAATACATACATTTATAGCAGTCTGCGTTATACGTAAACACTCATAAGACGTTTTTCAAAGCGTTTACAGTCATTGCTGAAATAAATACCGAATTAAAAATAGAATGTGATGTCAACAAAGATATATATTAATTTTTAAAATTTGGGATATTAAATTTTTTACTTCTCAAAAAAAATTAATTTTTTATCCAATGTTAAAGAATTAGAATGAATATAAACGGTAATAAAATAATAATATTTTAAAAACGATTGCTCTGATTCCAAAAATAGGAAATTTATAATTTTATAAAAAACGAATTGCTACCAATTTCTGTTAAATTTATTTTTACGTAAAAAATAGAATATGAAAAACTATCTATATATCATATCTATATTAATATTACATTTTTTAAACTTTATATTACCAGTTCTTATTATATATTATGGCATAATATGTATATGTAGATATCATTTAGAGAAATCATGATGTTAATTGTTATGTTTCAATGCATATATATGTATCTATATATGTATGTATGTTTTTTTATCTATAATTGATTTTGTGAGCGAAAACAGTAATACAATATCAACGACACAGTTTTCAAGTTCGCCCGGATAGCTCAGTCGGTAGAGCATCAGACTTTTAATCTGAGGGTCCAGGGTTCGAGTCCCTGTTCGGGCGATTTATTTTTTGATGCATGATATCTAATAATATACAGGATGTTCCGTGAGGAAACAAACCTCTAATATACATTCTAGTAATTTGTCGGTTTCCTCGCGGAGCATCCTGTACATATTGTTTATACATTAAATATATATATATTCTCTCTCTCTGCAAAATATATTTTTAAAATTTTTTATTCATGGACATGTTTCAAATATTAATAATAATTAAATAAGAAATAATATATTAAAATTTGTTTCTCTCAACTTAATCCATAACATTTTCAAAAATACAGTTAGCGTATTCTATTTTTTCACTTGTTCAATACAATTTAAAAAATTATATACATAAATAATCTAGAGATATGTAAACTAAAATATATATATAAACCGAATAAGATCTTATTTTTTACATCATAAAATACATATCTTCATTTATCTCTTTAAATGCATAAAACTAGATAAAAATGAAAAATACATTTTGTAAAAATATGTGTATATATTTTATTTGAGAAGCTCTGTTTTATAATTATATATTATACTTTGGAGCAAACATTTTGTACTATAAATTTCATAATATTTCATACATAACAAAATGCTCTCTTATTTCATTGTTACAAAACATATTTTTAAGAATATTGAGCAATTTATCTTGAGGATGTAAGCTTTAACTATAATAATAATTACAATTTATTTATATAGTACTAAAAGAAATTATCACGAAATTATATATATCTTTATATAAATTATATATATAATAAACAAAAAAGAATAGGAATATAAAAAAGTGTCAATGCAATTAAAATGATACATATGGTAAAATGAAAATTAATATTCCAAAGAGAAGTTACTGAGAAGATTCTTTGCTGATAATATCACATATAAGATTCATTATAGACGCAATTATTGCCCAAAGATGATAGAAAACGTAATTTACACAATGATATATATTAAATCTTTTGAATGTTTGAACTTTGTTCCTTCACACTACCATCTTGCATACCAAAAAAAGCTTTCTCAGCCATATTTATAAAAAGACCAGTTTCAATGACACCAGGTATCAGAGATAATTCCTGATTAATTTTATTCCAATTAGTTAAGTCTTGTGGAAAATGCCAGTCCAAAATAAAATTACCATTATCTGTTATTACTGGACCCTGTAAATAAAATATAAATTATCTACATATTATTTATATACATTTAATAATTTGAATAATAAAAATATATGCGCTTACAGCTTTTGCCAGAGCCATTCTAATTTTTGCAGTTCCTCCATATGTTCTTTCAATTCTATGTTGAATCGGCACATATGCCATAGGAACTACTTCAATAGGAATTCCTTTCTTATACTGCTGGCCAAGCTTTTGTGAGTTTTTCCTGAAATGTAAAATACACAAAGAAATTATATAATGTCTCTGTGGATAATATTAAAGTAAAGATTATGTTCTTACGTATAGTCTGCTATGACGACAAATCGCTGAGCACAAGAAGCAACAATTTTTTCTTGTAATAAACATCCTCCACCACCTTTAATAAGATTCATATCAGTATCAACTTCATCTGCTCCATCGATTGCACAGTCCAGCTGTAAAAGCCACATTTATAAATACATAATATAATAAAAAATATAATATAGAGAAAACACTTCAGAATTACCTTTGGATAAGTTTCTAAGTCACCTAAAGTTAGATGATTATCTAATATAAGTTGACGAGCTTGAAATGATGTAGGAACACAGACTATGTTGAGTCCTTCCTCCTTGACACGTTCAGCTAAAAACAAAAATCTTTGTAAGCACATTTATAAAATCTAATATATTTACAAAACATTTAAATGTAATAAAAGTATATTTTATTAATCGCAAAGAATAAAGTATTATTACAACTTATATAGAAAACTCAATCTAACACATCGAATTTTTTATGATGTAATAAGAATAAAAAAATATGCTGACGTTATCGATGGAAAGGTCAAATGTTAATTTAGCCACATGTTTTTCAATAAAACAATCCAGAGAATAATGCATAAAATATACTGTAATATCAGCGTTTAAATTTTAAAATTAAATTAAAAGTAGGAAAATAATCTCCTACCACAGCTATCAACGCCAACATATCAGATTCTATAACATTAATTGAATCATTTATTTTAGAAATGACTTTACATCAAGAAAATGGGCTTTTCCTGTACAGATATTTTTTTCTTTATACGAACACATGTAACACATAGTGCACAGAAAATTTAATATATAAATAGTAATGAAATACCTTTTTATAGTTATATTAATATGTACAACTAAAATATTTTCTTGGAGAAATAAGAATTCTAAAATAATATTAAAACTGGCTGATAACTGATTAAGTATATCATAATGTTCAAAACATACTATTGTATAAAAATAAATAAAATAATTTTCAAATAGTTGTATGATAAAAGAAACGTCATCATTACCAAGTCTATGAACGGCATAAATCACAGTGGATCCGCTACCGATTCCGATCACAGTGTTATTCTGAAAAACGTTATTCACTGGAATATTAATATAACCTCATAAATTAACTGATCAATTATATACAATCTTTTTAAATAAACCAGCTTGCCTGGACATATTCGTTCACGGCTTTATGAGCCGCAATTTTCTTGGCACCTTCGAGCGGACCCATCTTTAGTAAACTTTTCGGAACACTGTGCCATAATCTGGCGGCTATTTGAACAGGCGAACGGATCATATGTGAACTGATGTGGATGCAAAATTATCTCTATTTATGTATCTCATATATAGGCACAGTAATAAAATAAAGTAATAATTATTTTCAAGTTCTCACATAAAATTTAATAAATTTCTTATTATGATTTTTGGCTATTTACTCTCTAAAACGGATGGGTTTTAACGTGATCATAGCAGTAAAAACAATTATGTCGAACATCTTTTTCCGTGGTATAAATCGGGACATAAATCGATCTATTAATTAATATCAAATTATGTTATGAAATTAGATCCAAATAACATAAATCTCCTTCTGTTCTTTCTCGTCTCAATTTGATTGCGCATATACAAGATATCTGTCAAAATGTGATAGTAAAATTGTATTTACCGGAGTTATTGTTTATATATAATAAATAATTTTATAATAGATAATAAATAATTTTTTAATGGAAGTTTTCAGTCAAAATATCTATCAAAAAACATCAACTTTATTGCCAATATAGAATATAATATTTTTCTATAGATTTCTATACTTTGATAGATACTTATATGAGACATTTATCGCATTAAAATGAGAAACAAACGTCTTATTTTTCTATTCATACATTTTTATGTTTCTTTCCTGTGTTTTACAGGAAAAAATAGATTTTTTTCCAGTCGAGAGAACTTCGTTACTTTCTTTTCTATCATATCCTCCTGTCTTATATAGCGCATGATTCTTCCAAGAAGTAATACAACGGCAAATTGCGTCTAAAATTTTTTTTGTAAAGAAATTGAATCGCGCACTAGGTAACTATAAAATCAGCATTTTTCTTTCTATCTTTACATATCCATTACATACGGCTTTTCTTTAACTTTTATGATTCTTTTTCTATATCAAGTTCTTTATAATATCGCTCACTTCTAATTAAATCGAAACCGGTATAATTACGACGAGTTCAGATTTTTAGCATAATCAAAACAAAAAGACTTACAATTAATACTCTTTTTGCAAAACCGTTCTTTTGGTTTCTTTATCTAAACAAGGATGATACCGATTTGCATTATATATAATGAATCGATTTGATACGTTATAATTTACAATGATAGATTGAGGCATATTATATTATCCTCAAATTTATCTCTATGCGTTTATTATCCCTATTCGACATTTCGTACAGACATGTTGTATACTCTTTACTAATTAATAAAGTTATATTATAATGACAAGATTTTTAAATTAATCTCGCCTTAAGGGTAACGAAATGAAATATAAGAAAGATAACTGCGGAGATTTTCTCATTTCATGTTAATGAAAACATATTGCGCTATCATCGTAACGAAAATATGTTAAATAAGTATTTCAACGAAAAATATGTGCATGTATTATATTAAAATCATTCTCACATTTATATTTATATAATAATTGTTGCGAATGATAGCGTGATCTCGCTTAATTTCCATTCATACGCATTGATAACGCAATATATTACAACGACATTCCCTTTGTTTGAAAACGATTGATAATTGTCTAATATATTACAATCAGACATCCCCATATTGGGCTGCAAATTTAGATATACACAAGCCTTAAGATTATTACATTAATAATTGATTATAACGTTAAAAAAGAAAGATATTAATAAGATTGTAATACAATCATTAATAAATCAGGGATTTGACATGATTCAGTTTTTAATGTTCGCCCTTTAAGCTCTCTACCTTCTTTTGCTTTTTTCTTGAATTCTATCATAATCTTTTATCAACTACACATATACAATTTTGTATCGTTAATAAAATTTACTTCGGCACGTGCGCAAATATAATATTGCATGACGTATATTTAGGGAATGATATGCTATCATGTGCATCTCTCATCTTGTGTATATATATATATACTCAGCCATATTTATAAAAAGACCAGTTTCAATGACACCAGGTATCAGAGATAATTCCTGATTAATTTTATTCCAATTAGTTAAGTCTTGTGGAAAATGCCAGTCCAAAATAAAATTACCATTATCTGTTATTACTGGACCCTGTAAATAAAATATAAATTATCTACATATTATTTATATACATTTAATAATTTGAATAATAAAAATATATGCGCTTACAGCTTTTGCCAGAGCCATTCTAATTTTTGCAGTTCCTCCATATGTTCTTTCAATTCTATGTTGAATCGGCACATATGCCATAGGAACTACTTCAATAGGAATTCCTTTCTTATACTGCTGGCCAAGCTTTTGTGAGTTTTTCCTGAAATGTAAAATACACAAAGAAATTATATAATGTCTCTGTGGATAATATTAAAGTAAAGATTATGTTCTTACGTATAGTCTGCTATGACGACAAATCGCTGAGCACAAGAAGCAACAATTTTTTCTTGTAATAAACATCCTCCACCACCTTTAATAAGATTCATATCAGTATCAACTTCATCTGCTCCATCGATTGCACAGTCCAGCTGTAAAAGCCACATTTATAAATACATAATATAATAAAAAATATAATATAGAGAAAACACTTCAGAATTACCTTTGGATAAGTTTCTAAGTCACCTAAAGTTAGATGATTATCTAATATAAGTTGACGAGCTTGAAATGATGTAGGAACACAGACTATGTTGAGTCCTTCCTCCTTGACACGTTCAGCTAAAAACAAAAATCTTTGTAAGCACATTTATAAAATCTAATATATTTACAAAACATTTAAATGTAATAAAAGTATATTTTATTAATCGCAAAGAATAAAGTATTATTACAACTTATATAGAAAACTCAATCTAACACATCGAATTTTTTATGATGTAATAAGAATAAAAAAATATGCTGACGTTATCGATGGAAAGGTCAAATGTTAATTTAGCCACATGTTTTTCAATAAAACAATCCAGAGAATAATGCATAAAATATACTGTAATATCAGCGTTTAAATTTTAAAATTAAATTAAAAGTAGGAAAATAATCTCCTACCACAGCTATCAACGCCAACGTATCAGATTCTATAACATTAATTGAATCATTTATTTTAGAAATGACTTTACATCAAGAAAATGGGCTTTTCCTGTACAGATATTTTTTTCTTTATACGAACACATGTAACACATAGTGCACAGAAAATTTAATATATAAATAGTAATGAAATACCTTTTTATAGTTATATTAATATGTACAACTAAAATATTTTCTTGGAGAAATAAGAATTCTAAAATAATATTAAAACTGGCTGATAACTGATTAAGTATATCATAATGTTCAAAACATACTATTGTATAAAAATAAATAAAATAATTTTCAAATAGTTGTATGATAAAAGAAACGTCATCATTACCAAGTCTATGAACGGCATAAATCACAGTGGATCCGCTACCGATTCCGATCACAGTGTTATTCTGAAAAACGTTATTCACTGGAATATTAATATAACCTCATAAATTAACTGATCAATTATATACAATCTTTTTAAATAAACCAGCTTGCCTGGACATATTCGTTCACGGCTTTATGAGCCGCAATTTTCTTGGCACCTTCGAGCGGACCCATCTTTAGTAAACTTTTCGGAACACTGTGCCATAATCTGGCGGCTATTTGAACAGGCGAACGGATCATATGTGAACTGATGTGGATGCAAAATTATCTCTATTTATGTATCTCATATATATAGGCACAGTAATAAAATAAAGTAATGGCTATAGAAGCATCATATTCTTTTTATATTATATGAATTATGTGCACGCATATAAGTATTCGATTAGAAATCGATTTTTCAAAACATCGAGAAAAATCGTACTTGAAAAAAAAAACATCGATTTTTTATATAGATCTATCTTGTATTTATTCGCGAATTGATATTCTTCTAAATTCTAGATATTAATTCTTGAGATCTAATTGAGCACAAGAATCACAATAAAAGCGTTCCGTGCATATTATTTATTCTTGAATATGATTTTAATAATCATATGAAGAAAGATATTGCAAAATTTTTAACTATTACAATAAAAAAAATATATAAATTATATATAATATATAGAGTTAAATAAATAAATATATCTCTTGTACTTAATATTCGTTTCATTCTTCGTATTTTGTTGATCCCCATGCATATATTATTTAATTTCAATCTGTATTCAGATCCTGATCCTTGTCGAATAAACATAAAAATCCTGATTTCTGGGTGTACTTTATAAGTTTAATATGCATATCTAATAGGAAATAAGGATCAGCAGACACATATGTCTTAATTGAATTTCCATTATATTCAGCATCAGAGGCATATAACACAAAATACAACCAAACACAATTTACACATTTCAATAATTATCATATATATATA